GTTGGCGTGTCGTTGACATTTCGATATGCACAAAAGTACATGAAACAGTGAAACCGTGTGCTATTTCTCATACGCGATACTATTCACAACATTTATCGTCCATTTCGTCGATCCATTTGTGCCACAAACCCCGTGGGATAAGAATAACAACAGCTCGTAAGCATTTCCCACAATAAAAGTGAACTTCTCATGCTTTCGTGGTGATTACAACCTCACTGTCGTCCGGTTAAATACTACGCCTAACCTATCGGGATCTTATGTGGCTTGTCACTACAAGACCCGGGCCTTAGGTTACCGGTTCCTATCAAACGACACCAGGTCTTCGTGATTATGGGTTTTACCCCGTGTTTGATAGAAAACAAAAATCAGAACGAGCTCTACTGTTCAGAATTAACGGGTTTTTGGATTTCAACAATCGTGTTTCGCTCCAAGACTATTGGTCACACCTTCTTTGGGCGATGCAAACCAAAACCCCCTCCTTAGTTTTAGCGAATTGATTTGGGACATGCCGTTGCGATACGGTGAATTTCCAACTTTTACACACATAGCACACCTCTCGGTTGCTCACGTGCCTCATCAAACTGATCCGAAAATGGCAAATATCTGTACCGATGTTCGAGTTGACCGTATTGATCCCCCGTGCACTGAGAATGCTCACGTGCTAGCATCGCGTTGTCTAATTTTTGCATGACCCCATTTTTCTGTTCACCATCTCATCGCTACATTCTTTCGAATTCACGCTCTCCTCGCCATTTCCACACACACACACACACACACACACACACACACACACAATCATTCAGCTCATGGCGGTCCTGTTCTCCGAGACTTTAATGTGGGGCTTGGCCGTGCGCCTATTCTCTGTTCGTCAACTGGCCGATCGGGATCCCACTGTACTTCTCTCATTACCTCGTTTGGCTATCCTCGTTGGCACACGTATTCTCCCCGATTCACCGATCGGAGCGCATCGGTTGGCGGCCGGGTAAGTGTTACCTTTTGGCCTAAGGAAGCCATGTGTTTTTATCATATCAGTTTTGATTATACTGAGTAGGGTTCTGAATCCATTTTGGTGTAGGGCCGAAAACCTTCTGCACCGAACGACGTTCGTGAACGTTCACAGAAGTCCGCGTCGGCTGATTCCACCTTCCGTTTCCTCTATCATGTTCGCATACGACTGACAAACCATCCGTACAAATTGATTCTGTCTACCTCTGGCATTTCTGGTTCACTTTACGTTTTATCGGGAACACTATGAAACACCAGGTTCTTTACATTTCCTCTTCCTACAGTTTTATGCGTTGCACTACAAAAGACAACAGACTGTTTTGAACATCATTTTCATATGATTTACTCTGAAATAGCTCCGATGAAAGCAGTCTTCCAAAATCAAGCGTCTTTTTTTCTTTTGTTGATCACGTAGGCGATATCGTTTCACTTTCACTTTAAAAAAGGATGGTTAAATGCACTATGCATGCAGATATTTCACCGATGGACCGCCAGAGCCACGTCGTTTTCAGGCCCACCCTTTTCCTACTTTCACTTTACTGCGACTGGCTCCTTGGAAAGGATAAGCCGGCTCCAGACATGATCATGAAATTCCTTAGGAGTTTGGTTCGAAAGACGTCTCCAGCGTCACTCAGCGTTTTTTATTCTGAGGGAGCACCTCTGGCCTTTACAGAACCAAGTGCGAACTGCAAGGCAGCAGAAAGCAATCCCTCACCTCGGAAGTGAGGGGGTCAGTGACTTTAGTTTTAAAAGGCCAGTCACATCGACCTTTGTTACTACACCGTCATTGGGCTTATGCGGCTTTTAAACAAGAGCCAGGTGACCCAACACACCCTGGTAGTCCCGCGGCTGTTTGTTCGCTACGGCTTATTTGTTGCGGTATGCCACAACTTATTCACACCTAACCTTCTTGGGTGAAGGTATACCTCTATCCACAACCACAATTTCACTTAGTTTTGATGATAATAACCACACTAGTAGTAACAATAGTGGATAATAATAACACGGAACACTTTTATTTCTTTTAGTTGTTCTGACGACGATATGAGTATGCATTCTGTGAAAACGGTCCTACGAAGTCAATCATATTCACTTCTGGATATCCGTTAAACAGTGCACCATTTTGCTTGCAGATCAAACAAGTAAATCCAACATTTGATCTCCTTTTCCTGATATATATTCGACGAGGACATTCTTGAACAACTGTGTTCGTTACCTTCTGATATGGCCAAGTGGTGCTTGTGTATCTCTCTGTTATCCTAGCAGCCCTGGTCTGTATATGAATTTTCCATCTCTCCTTGACTCTGCTCCCAACATGCTGCACATTTCATCCATAAGGGGCAGTTATGAGACTGCAACCGAAACCGGCGTACGGAAGTGAATGGTCAGTGGTTGTAAAAAACGAAACTGTTCGTTACCTTCCAGTGAACTTCTCATTAGTGTCTGATTTTGTTTCCGAAGTGGCTAGTATATCACTCGTATATATGTAAATTCGAAAATCGTGTGATAGTTGTGTTGCACAACTTGAAAGAGTCTTTTTGAGAAGGTGAAACCCGCGGGATTGTAACCGGATCTACTAAATACCGAGTTAGTGGCATTTAAAAGACAAATTGAAATATTTTTGCCCCACATTTTCTCTCTCTCTGTTCTGTGCATGCACGTGTGTATTCGACTTTGACTACATCACAAAAAGCGATGAGGTTGTCGAGGCATAGTCATCTCTGTGCCCCACAGTTGACAGATACATTACATATACTGGTGATAAAATATTCTTGAAGTGAAATCGCATTCGCTGACGTAATGTTCGCTAGTATCAATTGTAATTTATCTGGATACTCCCGTTCTCTCCCCCTCTGTGTGTCTATGTGTATGTAGTCGACGACTGCCTTTCATGTGCGCCAATTCTCGTACGGATTTAGCCTATCTGGCTCGACAACTATATGCATTGCGCCTCGATCAATTATTTCGCCTGGCTCGTTGGCTCGGTCCCCGCGGTTTGCCCAATCTCAATCGATCCCGTTCAACCGAAGCCAGCAGACCGGGCACATATTTGGCCGCCGGTCCCGTGGATATGAGAGCACTCAGCCCATCACCGACCACCTTGCACGCGGGTTTGCAATCTAGCTGGTGTGGTTCACTCAGTCCACCCTTATCCCGTCGCACATGGAAGGCCAATGTGGCTGGTCTGCACAGGATCTACAAGACGATCGCCACAGTTGCCGATCGTTTCACCAGTGACTTCCCCACGGAACTACGGTTCATCCTGCAGGTCGGTTGTCTTTTCGACTGTGTTGATATCTGTTAGTTGATACTATACTCACTATCAACGAAGGTTATTTTCACTTGATTGATCGCAGTACTCAGAAAGTTGTCACGAAAAGAGATGCCCACGAATATTTTAAGGGATAACCTGTGTAAAGCACTAATTCCATTGCATAAAGTGAGTCTTAAATTAATACGAAGCCCTTCGTGTTGATCTTGGTACGAGGCACAACCGTATTCAGAACACTCTCATTCCATTAGACTCATTTGTGGAGAAAAGTATACTTTGCCTTCTCGCCACTCCGTTTCGAAACCAAAAACTCAAAGTGATCACCTCATTAAGACATTAGCGTTCACGTGTGCACTTTCACACATCTAGGAACCACATACAAGTTCACAAAGGGCGCAGTTTCACGGAGACGGTGGTTGGGTCCGAAGTCCATCTTCGAACTGGGTTACCGTCCGGTTTTATTCACATGATCAGCTTTTCAGAGTCAGGAGAGAGATTGTTGAGCTCCACACGCTGATCAAAACCTGAAGCGGAGCTTGATGGAATAATGATAGGAACGCCCCTCGCATCATTTGGGTTCAGACTGGACAACCGTTAGCCCCATGCACGTTCGTGTGGCAGTTCTTTTTCTCTTCTTTAGCTGGATATCACTCGATAGCTGCAATTTTCCTCCTGAATGGTATGAATATGCACAGTGTGTGAGAGAGACACTTTTAATGGTGTATGCTATTGACTAGTTCTGGTCAGTGAATTGATAGCCTGCAAGAAGGAACTTGGACCCGTCTAGTGAGATGATGAGATTCGTTTTGGGTTGCTAGTGTAAATGCGACTATTTCGAGAGCCATTCTTCTTTATAAAAGGTTATAAAAATTATATATGTATGAATGTTTGTTCATACTGGTAAAGCGCTGAGTGCTATTCCATGGGTGGTGTAAACAAGAGGCATCTGGGATTATTTGGGATAGAAAGGAAGAACTAGACACACAATATGTGGGACGTAGATCCAACGCTGGAACGTGACCGAAGCACCCGTGTTGGAACTTCTAAAGGTCTGTCAGGCAAGGCCTTCAGGTTTCGGTTCGGTGTGTTGTGTTGTGGTGTGTTGATTGTCGGTCCGCTGTTCGGCACTGGCCCTTAGTCTCATTCATCCAATTAGAAAGGCGGAACGTGGATGGGACAGCACCTTATTGGCTGGGGGCTGCCCAGATTGGGCGGGTGGAAGCCCCAGGTATCCCGCTTTTACGTCCATCTAGCGGGGGTGTTTTGACCGGTAAACTGCCCCTCACCGTGTTTATTTGCCGGAGTGGCCTCTCCAGGGGCGGGAAGGAAGCCAGGAGGTGCCCAGGCAGCTGGCCTTGTGAGACTGATCTTCGTCTGGTCTCTATCCCTTGACCTTTCAGGTTTGATTGGATCTGTGGCTGTGAAGAGCCATTTTGTATGGCTCGCACGGCCATTGAGGCGTGCAAACCATCACACCACGCCAAGGTACAGTCTCGTCGTGATGGTTCGAATATACCTTC